AATGTATCAAAGCAGCACAAGGGTGGGAGGGGGTAGAAAAAAGAGGAGCTGATATTAAGGGCTCAAGTAGAAAGAAAATGTTTTGAAAATGATGATAGCAACATATGTATAAATGTGCTTGATACAATTGATGTATGGATTGTTATAAGAGATCAAAGAGCCCCCAATAAAATTATTTATTAAAAAAAGAGTGGTACTTAAATTAAAATGTTGACAGCAACACACACACACACACACACACACACACACACACACACACCAAACCCAAACCCAAACTCCCTGCCGTCGAGTTGATGCTGACTCACAGTGATCTCAAAGGACAGGGTAGAACTGCCTCGTGCATTTCCAAGACTAACTCTTTACGAGAGTAGAAAGCTCCGTCTTTCTCCCATGGAGTGGCTGGTGGTTTTCAACTTTGCAGTTAGCAACATAACCACTCCGCTACCAGGGCCCTTCCCAGGTGGCCTCACAGGTGTCCCTGCACAAAGCAGCCTGAGACAGAACTAATGCCTTGACTTGCTTGCACAGGTGGATGCTTTGACTCAGTTGTGGTTTTGCCCCAATGGCTTCTCCTAGTGGACACCCACTGCTCCCAGAGATGGCCCCTGCTGCTGGCGGGTGGCTGTGGTGGCAGAGCAAGTATGGACAGAGAGTCTCCTTCTTCTCATTTTCACTTGGGCCACGTCCCACGACCCAACCAACCATGGTTTCTTTCATACGACGGGTCCCTATTGCCATCTTCACATCCAGATTATATGAGGACGCACCAGCCGCAGTCAAACAGCAAACATGATAGCAAGAGAATAGAAGGAAAGTGGAGAATCCAGAAAATGAGCCTCAAAATCCACTCTACTCGCCATCTGTCAGTGTCACTGTGAAGTGTCATGAAGTCCATCCAGACTCATGGTGACACGGGTACAACGGACGGAAACACTGACCAGCCCCGCTCCGTCTTCACAGTCATTGTCATGCTGGATCCACTGTGGCAGCCAACTCGTCTACATCCCGTCCAGGGTCTCCCTATTTTTCAAAGACTCTCTATTTTGCTAAGCATGATGCCCCTCTCCAGGGACTGCTGAGTCCTGACAACATGTCCAAAGTATGTGAGATAGAGTCTTGTCATCCTTGCTTCTAAGGAGCATTCTGGTTATACTTCGTCCAGGGCAGTTTTGTTTGTTCTTCCGGCAACCCACGGTACTTTCAATATTCTTCACCATGCACTGCTTCTGTTTTGGTCTTCCTTGTTCTATGTTAGTGTTTTGGGAAGCACCATCCCCTGGAGGACATTGGTACATCCAGGAGGCCTGAACAAGCATATTACTACCCTTTACCCTGGATTATGGGATCCAAACATTTTTTAATTGTCAGGAGGATGGTGAGCCATTTATTTATTTTTTCCTGAAGAGGGGGAGGCAGACCAAAGAAGTTTGGGAACCTTTGGTCTATATGCTGTAGGTCGCTCACAAGTGTGGGTCCAGGTTTTCTAGCAGCCATCTTGCAGAATGAAACCTCTTTAGTCACACAATTACTAAGACCCTCCAGGATAACTTTCTTCAGGACGATCATTCATAGCCCTGTTACTCAGATCGGGCAGGGGAAGCCCAAGGTTCTTCTGAGCCATGTCCACTGTGATGTCCTGACCACATGACAGACATTTTCCAGTATGGTGATGCTGACTTAACAAAACACATCATACTAAAATATTACTTGGAAAAGGATGTTCTTTGAAGAGCTGAGAGAGCGAGGAGTATAATGCTGACTGGGTTTCTTCCAGCGACCTGTTCTTGGATACATGGGTGACTGGATCAAATGCATGCCTCATAGGTAATTGTCCTTGACTATGGGGCTTTCTGATGAGTTTCTGATAAGCATTAATAAAGCTTTTGATTAAATATTACATAAATATGGACTTAGCTTATAGCATGTAAGTCAGGCACTGTTCTCAGCAGTTTTATGTATATTATCACATTACTTTTATAAAGTGCTACTATTATCAACCCCATTTTAGAGATGAGGAAACTGAGGCAAAGAAAGGTGAAGACTGTTAGCAATTGGTGGAATCACGATTTGAACTTAATGCCTCCAATATAACCTCCTTCTTCTTAACCACTATGGAATTCTAAAAGGGATTTAAGTTGGGCTAACTTCATTTTGTGGACATTGAGGATTTGAGGAAAGGGGAGGGGGCTGATGTCATGATAAGATGAACCTATTTCTGATAAAAAACAAGTGAAAGCACAGGGAATTGACAGGGGCTTACACAAAGTGAGGAGTTCAAGGGCTAACGGACAGGGGTGGAAAGAGCATCAAGTACTTCCACTCTGCACTGAGAAGATGATTTCTCTGTGTTCTCCTTTCCAACCTAGTCTAGCCACAAACTGGTATAGAATATGCCCCAAACTCTTTAATGATCTTTCCTCCAAGTGAAGCCCGACTCCCTTCTGGGCACAGAATGAAGCCCGGCTGAAGGTGTGTACTCTAGGGGGTTAGGTTGAAGAAAGACTGTGGTTACCTGCTCCAGGGGAAGATGGTGAGAAGCTATGGCCTTCTGTCAGCAGTCAGTGAAGAACAGCGCTGCCCCCCCCCTCCCACTTTTGCCAACAGCCATTGTGTGCATCATCTTGGAATGGCCCAGAGACATCACATGACTGCAGCGCAGGCTGACAGCCTTACTTTGACCTCATGAGAGACTGTGATCTGACCACCCAGCTCAGCCACTTTGAAACCCCTCATCCTCACACGCTGCGCAGAGAATAAATGTTCATGACCTCATCAGGTCAAATTGGAGTTGTTACGCAGTAACAGATAAGTATATACAAGCAGCGGCCAGCCCTCCAAAGATTTCAAAACACAAACAAAAACCCAGAATAAATCAGAATAAAACAAAAGCCCACCATCTAGAATTTCCAAAGGATACCCAAAGAAGAATCCTGTTTATGGTTTTTTTTGTTGTTGTTCCTTTAGAAAAGACTTGCTATCAAGCTCCCTTAACCTGAAGATTTCCAACCCCTTCAGTTCATTTTTCAAGGCATTTTTCGCCGAGGTTGAGTTTACCTATGTATGTTACTTGCCTACAAGGTCGCCCTGTGTGTAAAAGGAAGCAGACGGTGCTCAAAACTTAGAATTACATAAAGCCTTCTAAGTTCTCACAGCAAAGGAACGTTAAAATCTTAGGGTCTGGTGTTGGAGAACGAAACAAAAGGAGGCAATTAGCAGGCTGATATACACAACTCAGCTATTCATGAACGGTGACTGCAACTCGCTTTCAGGAGAACATCCGCTGGCGTGCAGAAGCCGGCATTTGGAAGGCTGCTGACACCAAGCACAATCAGCTCAGATTAGAGAGTAAATGGTGCTGATGAGTGCGTGGGGGTGGGGGGAGGCAGTTTGATTTCCATAATTTCTAAGGATGGCACCAATTGCTGGGGTTTCATTCTAATGCAATCACAATGATTAATCCAAGGCATTTCCTTCCAATGGGAAGGGAACAGTGTGGGCCCTTGCTGGTTTCTGACTTCCGCTTCCTGCCCTCCGTTGCTCAGGCAGGGATCTGCGGCCCCGCTGCCTGTAAGCGCAGACAGGAAGCCTGAGGAAAGGCGCCAGTTGCCAGGGGAAGCACAGGTGATTCACAGCCCTCAGCAGAAACGCAGACCCAGGTAATCCCTGGCCTTGATGAATGCCCTTTCCCACCAAGCTCCTCCTGACGTTTCAATTTTCAAAGAAATGTTTTCCCGTCAAAATTCAATTGCATTCTCCCAGCCCTTATGCTTTGCCCCCCTTTACCTGCTTGCACTAAATTTAATATCGGGATTATTATCCATTTCTCATTCCAACCTGAAATGTAGTCAGCCTCTTTTGTGTTTGAGCTATGCCTCCCTCAGCCCTCGGCACGGGCTTTGAGACATAGATTCTTTCAAGAAGCTGTCTGGATCATAGGATTTGACCCCGCGGTGCTGACGGGCTCCCCGTTGGTTGGTTGCTTATTCAGAGGCCCGGAGAAGCGCCCCGACAATGGCTCATCTCTATTGAAGATGACTTCTCTGCCACAGTGAAATGGCAAGGTGTCTGTATTCATCTTCATTTTACATCTTGAAATACTTAGGCTAAAAAAAAAGTCACAAAAACATTCACAGAAGAAGTGTTTCCTTTGTCCTCCACCCCAGTCTGCTTCCAGGCAAGCCTGGAGTCGCAGCACAGGGCGTGGAAGAACGCCAAAGCCCCGGTTGTGGTGACTTATGGTGTCTTACAGTACACACAGTCAGCTCCTGCCACCCAGGGCAGTCAGGGCTATGAAGTGGTCGCAGAACAAACAGTGCTCTGGAGAACCCTGGTGAAACACAGCCCTGGGTTCCTGGGAGCCTCTGGCCACAATGTTTCTGCGAGTGTGTGGATGTGTGCTTCTGTGAAAGGTGCCTTCTTGAATACACCACGTGGGTCCATGAACCGGAAGCTCCTGGCCAGCCACAGTGTGGACGCAGACCCGAATGAAACTCATCCGACACATGCGCTTTCTCCGTCAAGCCCACCACAGCTTGCTCAAAGTGAGTGGCCTGGGACTGCACTTTAGCACCCCACCTGGGGCCCATTTTACAGAACATCACCACCAAGGAGAAGCGCAACTCCCGAAGCAGCACACTCTAAACAGTGCGCACAGACAACCCTTGTGATACTGTTGTCACAGGCAACGTCCTGAATAACGGGGCCCACCAAGAGACCTCCATGGGGCAGCTTCAAGAAGTTCATGCAAGGCGGAATTACACGATAAGGGCATGGCCCCATGAGGGCTTCGATGCCCCCACCCCCATCCCCTAATTAATCGTACCCATTCCTCTTTCATGGCTGAAACTCAGAATTTCAAGATCGATTTTCCTACGTGTGAGTTCAAAGGTCCGAGTGCAAAAGGGAAGGTTCCAGATGAGGGCAATTTAGAGCGACGGCCCATTTGTACAACCAAACGCGAGACAGGCAGCAGGGCACCCGAGGGTGCAGTGAGGACTCACCCCGCAGCCCAGGTTGTTGCCTCCTTCACAGGTGACTTTCCTCACACCGGTCTCCGGCAGCAGGCCCGCCCCACAGCCAGGGCCGGGGCACAGCACACCGCCCAGCTGTAGGACACACTCTTCAGCCCCGTATTTCTGGTACCGGTTGTACTGTAAGACACAGAAGGGGTGTACACGTGACTGCCGGCACAGGCACACCATGGCGGTACTGCAGGCTGCGTTCCAGCCCGATGTAATACGGCGAATGCCATCATCCAGTTGAGCCACACACACATTCTGGTTTCCCAGTGCGTGCACATGTGACCTTGACACCAGACTCTAGCCGAGTCAGTGTGCCATCGCATGATGACAAAGCCGATGGCTTGCTCGGTTCGGGGTTGCCCCAAACCTTCTGTGTGTAAAAAACACAGCATCTGCGAAGAGCAATTCAGTAAACCGCACTAAAATGGGGGACCCCTGTACACTGAGCTGGGATAGTTCAGGCAAAGGGCTAACCATAGGTGGTGTATGGGATTTCTTTCTTATTAGGTTTCAGTTAAAAACGAGGGGGCGCTGGATAAGGTACCGTCTAATGTAGAGGCCCGGCCACCGCCACTGAGTTGCTTCTGACTCATATCAACCCCTCTGGACAGAGTGGAATTGTTCCCTATGGCGTCGGAAGCTTCAGAGCCTTTACGGGAGCAGGCAGACGACAGTACCTTTGTCCCATCGAGTGGCTGGTGTGGTCTAAGCACCGACTAATGGCTAGCCGCCCACACCACCTGGGCTTTTTCGTGTAAGGACATCCTTCCCAATTCAAAGAGGCAAAACAGAGACATGAACTGTTTACTCTGCATTTCTAGAAATCCGCCTGCAGAAAAACAGATTTCCCAAGTGCTGGGCTTTTGTTGTTGTTGCTGTTTTGATACTGCTTCTACGGGTTGCACTTAAGCAGTCTCATTTCATATAACCCAGCTGAATTTATGAAAGGGGCTCTGGTGGCGTAGTGGCTACATGTTCGGCTGCTGACTGCCAGGTCAGCAGTTTGAAATCGCAAGCCGCTTGGCAGGAGACAGATGGTGCTTTCGTTCGACTCCTTTTAAGAGTCATATTCTCAGAAACTCACGGGGCAGGCCTATCCTGTCCGATAGGGCCACTGTGAGTCAGCACACACCACTCAACGGAAGTGAGTCTTTGAGCTTGAGCTGAACTTATAATTCTATTATGATACTTAGGATCCATCATTATCGGACATATCAAATAATAGAGTTTCAAGAGTCCAGGGGGTTTTCGGAACATTTTGAAAATGTTGCTGCTGTCAGGTGCCGCCGCGTTGGTTTGGACTCACTGATGGAAAGAAACACCACCGGAGCCTGCCCCGTCCTCCCAGCTGCCACATTTTCTGTTCATCGTTGCAGCCCTGCGTCAATCCATCCTGTGGAGGGCCCGCCTCTTTTTCACGGCCCTTCTGCTTTACCCAGCGTGATGTCCTTCCCAGGGACTCGTCTCTGGCCAAAGGACACACGATGAAGTCTCGCCACACTCCCTCACTTCTAAGGAGAATTCTGGCTGTGCTTCATCCGTGACAGATTTGTCTGTCCTTTTGGCAGTCCGTGGTACTCTCAGCATCCCTTCCCAGCATCATAATTCAGAGCAGTGATTCTTTTTCAGTCTTCATTATTCAATGGCCAACTTCACACACACATGCACATTGTCTCCCACAGCGCTACGGGTCAATGACGGATGTCATGTCTCTTGGTGGGACCGGCCCTATAGTCCTCTCTCTGTGTTGGCTGCTCTGAGAAGGAATATCATCCTAGGGGCTTGATGGGCCACGTTGTGTTCCACTCTCTTCTTCCCCCTTCATTTACTCCTGTGTGCTCTGATCAGATGCGCCCCTCTCCCTGAGCTGTAGCTTCAGTCCTCTGAAGTGCATTCTTTGGGGGTGGGGCGGGGTGTCCATGTACTTGGGATTGGGCTGGCCCTGCAGACCTCTCTACTGGTTCACTTCCCTTCATTCTTCTTAAAGCATGATTTCTCTTGTCCCTGAGAACATTTCCTGGAGCCACCGCTACCACGGAAGGAGCTAAAGATAACAATTGTGAGGATGGCTCAGGGGTGTTGGGGTGGGGCCACTGTGAGTCAGAACAGTCTCTAGCTGCCCCTGCACTCTCTCTCTCCCCTTCTAGAGGAACTTGAGACTAGTTGACGAAATCAGCCTTGTGGACCGTGGCAGTCTCTTCAGTGGGGACTTGGCTGATGGCAGCAGCATGGTACTTATAGCACCCTTCAATTTTGGCCTGCTTTTTCTTAAAGGACAATTGATCAATGACTGATCGGATTATTTTTTCTTCTCTGTAACACTACTTCATCGATGGTGTTCTGTTCTATCAAGTGACTTCCAATATCTGTCCATCTCTCCTTTTGAAATAATTGAAATAATTTTTGAAACAATTGATGGTCAGGAAGTAGATGAATTCACTAGGGTTGAAAAGTCACGTTTCAATTCAGAACTTCTTTTATTAATGAGAATAATTCTATCACGTGTTCACTAGTGGTTTACATTAGATGGTAAAAAGGACAGGCATTTTTTTTCTTCTATTTAAAGAATAGTTAATGAGCCCCTGAGCTTAAACATATTAGGTAGTGCTGGTGCTATAATTCATTACACTTTTTATTTTCGTTCTTGAGACTGAAATTGTCCTATCATTTGTCAATGGGACTCCAAACAAGTTTACTTCTCCGCACATAACCACATGACCCTGCTCATGTTTTACAGCCGGTGTGACATGTTGCTATGAGTCAGAGTTGACCCGATGGCAGTGAGCTTGGGTTTTTGGATTTATTTGACATGTCAGGGAGCTCTGATGGTATGGTGATTATACATTAGAAAATGGTAAGATCAGCAGTTCAAAACCACCAGTTGCTCCTTGGGAGCAAGACAGGGCTTTTTACTCCCATGAAGAGTGACAGTCTCAGAAACTCACAGGGGCAGTGCCCCACTGTCCTGCAGGGTTGCTGTGAGTCAGCATGGACTCGATGGCAGGGCGTGAGTTGATCTGTCATGTGGAACTGAACCTGGCTCATTTGGGGCATGTCTCGTCTGAGCAGGAATTCCTAACTTCTTTATTAACAACTCTTTTTTAAATACTTCAGGACCACGGACTGAGTACTATGTATGTTCAATGCTAATGGGCTGGCCAGTATTTCTAAGTCTTTTCAGTTCTTATTTTAAGGATATTTCAGGACTATGAGATTTCTACTTAAAGAGTTTTCTATCTTATATCTGCATCTCCTTTTCCTACACTGGTTCTCAAGGACACAGTCAATGACAGAGGTAGACCTGCCTGTGTTTGCTCCCTTCTGCCATTTCTAATGATATGAAAACTATCACCACAGATATAATTACTGCAAATGTTAAAGGTATTACCACATGAACTACCTATTCTCCCAACAATTATTTTAATAATATTTACACTATGTGGGTTAGGTATTGGGCTGCTAATCGCAAGGTCAGCTGTTCAAACTCACATGCTGTCTGCTTCTGAAAAGAGCTTTCATTTCACAAACCCTGTGGAGGATTGCTGCGAGTTGGAATCAACTTGAGGGCAGTGGGCTACGGTTTTTGCTTTGCACACATTGTCGAAACCCATTTAACACCATACTCTCTTTTTCTTAAACCCCATGTTATCTTACTTTTATTCTCTCTCTCCGTCCACCACCAGACCATCTGTTGATACCTTTCTAGTACTTCGGGTTTCCTGAAGTTAATGCACTAGTAAACTCCTCCAGAAGAATTCATAAGACAGCATTCACTAAATTCCCACATGCTGGTGAAATAGGGTAGGTTTTAATCCTTAAAAATAAAAGCCTGAATTCACATGCTTTTGTTGTTCTTTGAATGTTGTAAATATCCTCTTCCATCTTCTTTTGTCAAAAATGTTATGAAAAATCCTAATAACAATTCCATTACAACAAACAGATCATTTTAACTCAGCTGCCCCTCTTTTCTGTCAAATCCAATATTCTATTTGAATATATCTTGGTGCCAGTCATTCTCGATCAGTTTCACAAAATGTTATCCTCATTTAGTGTGGCTTCAATTTTTTTTTTTTTTTTTGCTTGCAGGGAAAATGATCAAACTAAACTTGAGTGTTTGCTCTGTTCTATTGCTTTGGCGTTTCTTTCCTGTGATTTCTAGTAAACAGTTGTTGGATCTTCTTTATCCAGCTTTTCAATTTGTCATATACTCTTCCAAACTGCAACACCAAGCTTATTGCCATTGAATTGATTCTGACTCATAGCAACTGTATATTCTTAAATCCCTCTTATGGCCTATGATCTTCCTTTGCTCCCAGATGTTTCCTCCTTTATATAGTTGTATGTAGCTATAGCAGCCTCCAGTACTCTCCTCTAACCCCATGGCTTCTTTAGGGCTCATCTAAAACTTTGGAGTGGAGCCATTTACCTAAACTATTTGCCAAAAAGTTTTGACTGGAGGGAATGAAAGGTGCTTTATGAATATGAATTATATGCAGAAAGCAGAAACCCAGCCAAGAAGTTAAAATAAATGTTATTCGAAATTCCAAAGAGTTTTAATTTAACTTTGCAAAGGTTTAGAGAGTTTAAAGATCTTTTTTTAATCCAGATCCCAAAACCAAGATGGCTATTAAAGATCATCGGGGCGGGG